AACATGAATCAAACATGCACTTTATTTATTTCCACTAAATAACAAAAGTATATCAAAATGATTGAAGCTAAGGGCATACAAAACTGTCTAACAGTTCATACACTAGATCCCGCTTATCTTCCTTCTTCATGTCCCTTTCTGTATCACCCCCAAACTTAGGTTTAACTGCTGCTAGGGTTGGGGGAAGGGCTGATGCTGCATCATAACTTTTCTCCTAGTCTCTTCACTATGCACCAAAGCGTAGGCTCGAGATAAGGTCACACTATCTCTTGTCAGTATCTACTGTCTCACAATGTCATAATCAGAATTCAGACCAACTAGGAATTCAAACACCCTATTGGTCTAAACTTGCTTTCTATGGGTCTGTGCATCTTTCGGTTCATAAGCCCTAGCAACATTAAGGGGTTGGGAGTAGGTCTCTTTCATGACATCCCAGATCTCCTTGGTTGTTTTTGCCCACAAATAATTTCGGCTGATATGTGGCTATATAGAGTTACACAGCCATGTCATAACCAAGTAGTTCTCCTGAACCCACTTGGTATACATTGGGTCCTCCTTGGAAGGTTCTTTCACATCTCCCAATAGGTAGCTAAGTTTTCCTCTTCCCCCAATAGCCATCATGGCCGATTGGGCCCATTCTAAGTAATTGGATCCGTCAAATCTCACAGTTGTAATCTGAAACGCAGTCTCAAACATATTACCAGAACTGTTGTTCCTAAAAACACCTTCCCCCTGATTCTTGAACTCCATTCTTGGTTAAGAATCAGTAATTAAGAACTATTAGAGCTACTGCAATAGAAAACAACACTTAAATAACTGATCACAGTCAAAATTCTGTATGAGTTCAGTTCGGATCTGATCTGAAACCAATTGGCAGTTCAGAATGTAAGCAGTCCAATAAAGGTTCTCACCCCAAAACAGGATTTGAAGCCAAAACAGGTCTAGAAACCACTTAGAAAACAATCTGTAATGCTGAAGTAGATTTAGGGTTTGATCGTAGGGTTAAGGAAACCTTTGTGAGAACATAAA